AAAAATGAAGCGAACTCGTCGACCAACTGCTGCCACCAACAAACCATTCGTCTCCGGCGGAATTTATGTAAGAATCCAACTATTTTCCATTGCCTTTCTTTTATTTTCAAACCAAAAATCGCCTCCATTCGAATCGATTGGTTTTTTTGCCAGTTTGTGTATGTATTGAGTGCCCTGTGACGTCACGATAATGTGTACCCCAAGTGAACAGAAATGAGAAAAAACAACAAAAACCATTCTGATTGACTCCTGCATATTTGACATATGAAATAACAGAGATTTCGTTTTCGTTTCTATAATTTGCAGCGCACAAAATGAAAGTGTGTGTATTCACCCCAATTGTGAATCCATTTGCAATAGCCACTAAAAGCGGGTTAATCGAAAGTGCAGACGTTGTCCGAATTCCACCAGCATCCACAAGTCACGGTCCACAATGCATCCCCACTCCTCTAGGCTCCCCACCCACATTCCACTCACACTCCACTCACATTCCACCTCCCCATTCCATTCATATTCATCCATCCTCGTCTGCCACTCCATTCTGCTCGTGCTTTCGAACAACTAGATATGACCAGCACTGCGATAGTTTCAAGCTGGACTTGCGGTTATCGCTAACTTTTATGGCTACTGAAAATGCATTCACCCGAAATTGTAACTAAAATTATTAGTTTTGCGTCAGATAGCAATGCCCATTCACTCCACCGAAAGTGCCCGAAACGAGACGCCGATAAAGAACTTAGCCAAGGACTGAAGGATGCAGTCCCCAAAATTTCTCTGTGCTCAGCCGGGTGATGTTTTATTTACCAGTTTGATAAAATGTTTCCCGGCGATATTTTTAAACTATTTTAATATTTAAAAATTCTACTTTTTATTTTATTGTCGAAGTATTTTTGTAAGACTCTAATCTTCAAAATTCTATTCAATTATCCTGGTCATAAAGTAAAAAATATTAAAATTAAACAAAATTAAAAATGTTTACCAGTTCCCTGACAAAAGTAATATCTGTAAAATATTATTCGAAAAGTAGTTCCCAAAATTCAACAGAGAAGTAGGGACTTACTATGCACGAACAAGGTGAATTGTGGTTGCACAGTAAAATTGTCCAAGTCCTTGGCTGTATCCTATGACCGGAGAATCCACACTAGCTGGGCACGTGGCTCCGCCGGCGCAGAGCTTCGTTTCGGGATACTCGGGTCGCAGGAATGGCCATGGCTAGTTCCTGAACTATGGTTTTTAGTAGACCAGCCGACCAGCCTGACGCTTCCGGGTTACCTGACGACCTGATGGTTTCCGTCGGCCAGCGAGTCTCCTTTTTTGTTGACCCACAGGATTAGCCCGCTGCAAGTGATTTTATCCAGGGGAACATCACGAAGAAAACAAGTTCCCTGCCTTAACTAATCAACTAATGAAACTCTTTTGCAAACGCAGAATCCCAATGCTATCGCCAAGCCTTTGATCCAACAGCCGTTGCAGGCCTCTAATGACCAGGAGCAGCAGTCCCCTCCGGTGGCTGATCAATCGCCACCGGCTCCTGCCTCAGTTTCGGCTCCAGTGGCGGCCTCGCAGGATGCGGCCGACATCGCAGCCAAATTGCCTATGCCAATCATAGTCAAGGAGGAGCCGAAAGAGGTCGTTATCGAGGAAGCGGTTCCCAACGACGATCTCCCCGTCGACGTCAGCGAGGAGAACGGCAGCGGCGCCGGCACCGGCACCGTCTCCGGCTCCGGCTCCGGCTCCGGCATGGGGGGCAAGATCCCCTTCAAGAAGATCTTTCAGAAGCGCAAGAAGTCGTCTGGTAAGCGGACAAAACCAATAAGCTAAATGTAAATATGCAATACCTTTTGATATTTTGCTGAACTCGAGGTGTGAAATTTGCCATCCTTATGAATTACTTGCGAATCCTTAAGGCTTTGTTGTAAAAATATTTTCCTATTTGCTTGCAGCCCTGGATGACACTTGTTAAAATAGCATTTCTTATTTGATTTTTGAAACTTCTCATGATAAGCAATCAACGGGATAAGCAATGTCATTAAAAAACAAGTTAATGTTACGTTTCCCCATTTCCCCTTTTGTAGAACGCACCCGTGACAAGAAGCAGCGCCAGAACCGTCAGCTGCGCAAGTCCATGCTGCCGAAGAACGCCTTAATGGCCCTTAACGAAGTAAAAGGTGTGACCATAAGCGATTTCACCATCGAAAGCAATCCCGACGGAGGGTTTACGGCCGTAGTTACTGTAAACGCGGTCCAGTACGAGGGCAAGGGTCTCTCCAAAATGTCCGCCAAGAACGCGGCTTGCGAGAAGGCTTGGCGCGACTTTATCATTGCAAAGATGACACCCAAGCCGAACAGGACGCGTAATTCTAACTCTGAAAATGGACCAGAGCCCATGGAAACCAACGAGGATGAGGGTGATGCACAGGAGGATGATCTTCCCATGCTAAATCTCGCCTCGTTTGCTATTTACAAGCTGTTTGCAGAGTGGGAGCGCGAGGGCTATGTCGTGCCAGAAATGCATCCATCGGCCAGTGGTGCTCCGTCGGCCGGAGGGGAAAACGTACCGCCTGTTCCAGCGGTGCCGAAGGAGCCAAAGAAGCCACCAGTGCGCACCGAGTTGCCCTCAGGCTGGGAGACCATGCACCCGGCCACTATTCTATGCATTGTAGGCTAGCTTACCGACAGTTTTGCGTACAGTCACTAATAAATCCTGTTGTAGATGCGTCCGGGACTCATCTACGTTGACCACGGGGCCTCTGGCGACAAGCCCAATGTCCTGCAACATCTGGGAATAGTAGTGGACGACCAGGAGTTCACCGCCAGCGGCAGATCGAAGAAAATCGCACGCCGCAACGTGGCCGTTGAAGTGTGCAACACTCTGTTTGGAACCAACTTCTCGTATAGCGACACTTCATCTTAAGACATTGATTGCAAGACACACCTTTGCCCCTCTTAACGGCTCCATCTCCAAAAATTTTGGCCGTAAAGTCAAATGCGCAACTGTTTTTAGATTTGCTTCTTTACTATGATAAAAATTGGTTGCCGAGCGATGAGTATTTAAAATTTTTATTGACTTTTGGGTCAGAATTTATAATTTATAACTATATGGAGATTAGTTAAAATAGACTACGTTATATTAATCGGGATCTAACGAGTATGTATTTCTGTTGCATTCGAAAAGTAATGACACGAAAAGTAGTAACATTCATGAAAGTATACACTTTTTAGATTTCGGTGTGCTAAAAATATGGACTACAATATATTGGTATCTCCATGCAGTTCCACATGTCACAAATGACATCAATGGTAACACTTTACCTCATTTTCTCTTTAAAAAAAAAAATATAGATAAATGTTGATGATAAGCCCCAGTTTTTGTCGATTATAAGTTGAGGGATATGTCACTGATGTCAGCGTAGGATTTGCCCATGTTAATTTTATCAATTATTTGTTTGAAAATTAATGAATGATTCACCAACATCGAAGATTTTACAACCTTGCAGAGGGTATAATGTCAGAATTATGCACCGCAGTAAAGGAGTCCACCATATTTGAATATCGATCATTTATAAATGATTTTAGACTGCAATTTACTTACTAACATATTTTTTTAGTTAACTAGATTAAGAAACATTATTTTAAAGGTCTATTTCCTCTTACGCTTGTTAAACTAAAATTAGGTATTAAACTTTGAATTTCCGTAGGTTTCCTACGTTTAAACCCTAGTTTTCGTTCAACATGCGAACGAGTTAAATTACACTAATATAATAGTGTTGGGTATAATTACCCAATAATTCGAATTTTCAAAACAAGGCAGCCGTTAAGGGAGGGTATAGATGTAGTATTTAATATTTAATAAAAATTATTGAAACAATAAACACACTTGTTTGATTTTGTTGTCTAAGTAATAGTAAATATAGAACATTTGTACGTTGTTTTTATTTGAAAGATCAAGGAAGTTGCACCCTTGTTTGGCTACCCAGTCGAACGATTCCGTATGAAAAACATAGCTTTTTTGAATAGAGGACAGGGAAATTCTGTACTTTGCACAAAAAGCACGTGAGCTGCGAAGTAAGTTACATCAATGTGCTACCGTCTCTGTAAAAACTTCACAAGTAAAATGCACAATGGAAAAGAGAGCTTATGAAAATATTTCACACCGCTAAGCAAATATCCCAAAAAGGGAAAATGCGAGTCTTATACAAACATTTTCAGGATGCTGATAAGTTATCTCAAACTTGTAGCGCTAGGATATTATTGATTAAACAAAAACACCTCTTGACGAGGTGAAAAACACATTTCTTTGCTGTATAAATATATTTAAGCGCCTACACAGACATTTTCTTATGAGGAAATTAAAAAAGGATTTATTTAGTCGAATGTTTAATCATTTTTCGACACGATATCAGGAAATTAACAAAATAACTATTTTCATTAGTACACCTATCAAAGGGGCAATGGTTTAAGATGGGGCTCTATTTTAGTTTTGCCATATTGAATGGGAGTGTGTTTCAGCGAAATTTTAGATAAGATCAATTATAAAGGCCACATAATTCAAAATGTTGAAAAACATCGGTTTTTAATTCTCACCTATATCACGGAACCCGTAGGTGATGGGGATAAAGTTTATGTGGGGCTTTTACTCGGGATGACCATGGACAAGTTGAAATAGTTTCTGTAAATTTCACAAAGGTCCATTTTGTGTTGCTGTGTAATTTTCTCTTGTTTTTTATATAGATGTGTACCATGTTTGGAAATTATTAAATAAGCCTTTTTTGGGCAAAAATGCCACTGATCTGCGACATCCCAGTGTAAGTTACATACTGCAATTTGGCAGTATGTTCAATACATATTAACCCTTAAAGAAAAAACAACTTTTAAGTAAGACCCTTTCCGCCCTGAAATCAAAATAGTTTTAAAGCTATTACCCTGTTAAAGTGTTTATGAACCTGAAAGAGTTATTTACTTAACTTAATAAACAGCTCGCTAATGCATCTTACAAGTTATACATTACAAGTTAAGCTTAAAGCCGTAAATTTATTTAAACAATCAACTACATGTACATTATGTATACAACTAGAGAAATAGCAACGCAAACAGGAGAAAAGACAATGAGTCCTTCTAATTAGGAACGCCGCTAGTTGGCTCCTGCTGCTTGAGCGTCTTGAGATTCTTCTCAAAGCGCTCAAACTCGCTGTCCACCATCCGGTCCGCGTCGTCGAAGACCTGCTCCACCGACTCCACCTCCGGTATGTAGAACTGCAGCATATTTTGCACGCCGTTTTTTAAAGTGACAATGGAGCTGGGACAGGAAGAGCAGGATCCCTGCATCTTAAGCTTGACGACTCCACCCTCGTAACCCATGAAGACGATGTCGCCGCCATCTTCCTGGACGGTGGGACGGATGCGCGTATCGAGCAGCTCCTTGATCATCATGACCGTCTCGTCGTCGTCTTCGAGGATTTCGGTGTCCGCATTGGGCTCGGCGTTCTGAAGGACGGGCAAGCCACTAGCAAAGAAATCCATTATGACGGCAAACACCTCAGGCTTAATTAGGCTCCACTCGGCACCCTCCTGTTTCGAGATGGTGACGAAATCGGCACCAAAGAACACGCCTCGCACGCCTTCCACGCGGAACAGCAATTTGGCTGGGGATTGATTAAAGCACATTCAGTTATAATTAAATTTAAAAACGCTATAGTCGAGTGCTTCGACTATCATATTGAGAAATTAGGTAAAATAACAAACAATTACGGGTTTAAATTGGTCTGATTTTATCTTTTTTTTTACATTTTTAGGTGTTTTTAAAAATTAAATATTTTATAACAAATAAACTGCGAAAAAACGAATAAAAAATAACTCCAGTTTTAGACGGAGGTTTAAATAACGTATTGTGCATCTAGGAATTGTGTCAGGATTTTGATTTAAAGTTAAATTCTGATATTGCAGACAGCCTCTTTATTATTATCTTCTAGCAAAGTCTGCTGACGAAAATTATCGAAAAAGAAATAGAAAGAGATATTACAGATTGCCCTCTCTTTCTAGATGGGAATCTAGTGTTCTTAGCCTGCATCCGGCGTTCTCCAAGTCGGTGTTTCTGTTATACTTTATTCCTGTTCAAAGGAGTGAGAAGAAGAAGAATGATTGGCTTGGTCCATTCATTTCGTCGGAAATTTTGTTTTTACTAGTTTGGTTCAGGTAAGTGTCACCTTTAGTAATTAACTACCCACTTATAGTATGTACCATTGTACATTGTGGAATCAAAGAGTAAGATGATTCGATACCTAGTTTTTGAGTAGTATCTTTGAGAGCCAAACATTTTTAAACTTTAAAGGGGCATATCTTTCTAAAACGATATGTTATAAATCATATTTATAAGGGTTTTACATGTAAACTAGTGAATAAGTTTCCTGTCGAAGTTAATACGAAATGTCCCGCTGTGTCGCAACGCCTACCCGTTGTTTTCGGAATTATTGTATTGTAACATACAAATTAATTAGCACGGAAATTAAATCAAATCTGAGTGTCGTAGCATTATAAATGTGCCCTGTGTGCTTATATAAAAAATAAAATCAATTTCAATTTAGACTAAAAAATTAGGGCGCAGGACCAACATTATATCAGCGTAGCACTACGCTAAAGCAGACCGCCTAGAATCTGTATGCTTAATCCAAACATTCTAGCCTTTATAGTTTCCGAGACTTTTTGTTTTTACTCTAAAAGTAGATCGGCTAAGAGTTTCACTATTCGAAAAATCTTATTCTTTGTAGTGTGACCGAAGTTTTCAAAGTTCACCCGCAATGCATGTGGCATGGTCTTACTGTCAAGCAGTTGGGTTTGAAATTAAAATTTAAAAAGGGGGAGTCTGCTGGTACACAAAGAAATTAAAATAAAAATAAATCGAATGTTCGACGAATGTTTTTATTTATGTAAATTAGTAGTTTAAAGCTTCCTTCTCGTCCCACGGAACGCCATCTTTCCCGCTCCACCGCAGTCCAACTCCGAGTCTCAATAGGCATATTGGACCTTGAGGAAGTGGGAGCCGGATTGGGAAAGGGGTTGATCCGCTGATGCCGCAGGAAGTCGCCCAGCATCCTGGCAGTGGCTGGCTATGGCTTCTCCAACTGTTCCTTAGCGGGCTCTCTATTTTCCTCCTCCCTATAAAAGCCAGCGTGTCCTCCAGCTCCGCTTAAGCTGCCAAGTATCTGGTGGTGGTGGTGTCCGGAGTCCTAATGGAGAGGTCGTCGGAGATCGTATTACTGGTGGATACTTCTATTAGTACAACCCGATCAAATTCTTTTGGCCAGAGCTTACTTTCTTTGCGAGGACGCGCCCGGCAGGATGTCCATGTAGAGATCAAAGTCCCACTGTGCATGTTCCTTCCCACTGGGATTCTCTAGTGGATCTGCACTTCAACTATTCTGGGAATTTTCCCCTTTTGTGGAATTGCTTCCTGTCGGTGAAATCCCACAATAAAGGGCATAAGCTTGGACTTCATCTGCACTGAGCTCCTGCATTCGATTTTGCTGTTTTCCTTTCATTTTTAATTTTTAGTTTCCACATCGCCTTTGCACGAACACCGCCAAAGATTAAATTTCTTATTCTTTGGGCCGCGGCTAACGGCGTTCATCGAAAATTCACTCGCGAAATCTGGTATTTTTTCTGGTATTTCCTTAGCTTATTGAGTACCGCGCTAAAAAACAGACCCGTCAAAAAGCGTTAGCCGCGTATTTGCCTCTCGCTCACTCCTATGGTTAGCTCCCGGTTTTCGTCTATCTGAGTACTAGGCTTAATGGAGGAAAAAGTCGGTGAAGCGGAATTTGGTTGCTGAGGCGAAAACCCCCTCTGTGTGAATAGACCTTAAGCCGAGTTTACATCAGGCCTTTGAAAAACACGCACAGTTCGCGCCGGGTTGGACCAGGGCTGTCGTTTTCTCCGAATACGAGGGCCACATAGTTCCACATCACTTACGGGTGACACGGTAACTTAAGTTCACAAAATATAATATAAACGGGAAGAGCGAGGGTAAAAGGAGTCTGTAATTAGCATGAGTTGGCTGAATGCAAGCCGGCACCACGGGACATTACCACTGTTACCGGCTCCTGTTCCAAATAATGACGGTTATCACGGTCAGAAATGCTGGAGATCCAACCGGCGAGAGTCTAGATTCTAGACTCTAGAACAACGTGCCACGGCTGAAGTGTTACGTCACGAACCGAATTGGCCACAGGAGAAACTACAGAGTTTGCATCTTTTAATCTGTATCGTACATTTATTTATTTACTTATTTTATCAGCATATACAGGTTGCGGATGTACTTATTTTTTAAGATTTATACTATTCCATTTACTGCATACTATTAATGCATATTTTTAACATCATTCTTATTTTATTTATGCACTCGCAACATATTTATTTTCTTACGTTATCATACGAGAAAACCATTTATTTATTGCCACACATACGCATAGTTATATTTAGTCCATGGAGGCAATTTGCTCACTGTGATTATGCAATACGAATTATCGAGGTACATATGGTACAGGCATTTATTTAGCCACGATTATTTTATTATAATCTTTATAACTGGTTATTTAGGGGTGCTCCTTGCGAACAAGTTTTGATTTTATTTTCACGCTCGATTTATCGTGGTAACTTTTAAGCGGATTCTTGTAAATCCCACGGGAAATCCTACACCAATAATCGCGTTAAATGGGAATTCCAAGTCTGGAATCCACTTAAGAGAGCTCGTCTAGGAGCAGGCTTTTCCTTATTTATAACCCCATCTGGTATTTCCCGGGCGGTGGCTGATGGGTTTCCTTACCGGGAGTTGAGACGAACCTGTGAATGTATAGTAAATTGTAAAACCATGACTAAGGAGTAGACTTTTCTTTCGGGAGGGCCGTCGGTTACATCCATGGCTACAAAGCCTACTACTACAGCAGCTGACGTCTAGTGGTAGTTGTAATTGTCCAAGTTTTGGGGATGTTTTGGTCGAACACATCCGTTTGCTTACTATTGCGTGTGAGGACACACGTAGTTCCATTTCTCAATTATATTTGTATTGCAAATTTTATTTGCTTTAAGTTATATTAATTTAAATTTATTATTTATTCGGTATACAATATTTATTTAAGCATGTTGCCTGTAAACGTTAAATTATTAGAGGCATTTTTGAAACACAATGTGTTTGCGAGATGAATTTGCGTAATCAGTTTGGCTTCAAATCCAAAAAAATAGCTAGTTTTACTTCTTGGACGTTGATGCACTATGGTCAGTACAAACAAGTGGCCCTACGACACCAAGCAAAGCTTGTTACGCGCGGAGCCCATCACCGTTTTGGGCGAGTAAACATAATCGCGGACAAAGAAAAAGACAATGTAACAATAGACAATTAAAAATACAGGTCAATACGAATAGACAAAATACATCAAGTAAAACTAATTAGTTACTAGGGAGGATAATATTATTGATTTAAAGATAGGAAGTGAGTCAGTAGTAGATATTAGATGATATAGTCTATTATAATCATTGCAAAGTACTCTAAAAGGTTCATGCATTGCGTAATTAGAGATACAGTGATTCAATACTAAAGGAATATAGTTTCTAGTGAATCCATTTGGCACATTAAAATGCAGGCGACCCAGTAACTCGGGACTCTCTACATCACCATGAATAAGATTTCTAATAAACGTAATACCAAGCATAGTTCTACGGTTAGCTAACGATGGTAAGTTAATTAGAAGTAGTCTACTAGAGTAGGATGGTAGTATTAGGCTTGTATCCCAGTTAAGTCTCCGTAAGGCAAATATTAAGAAGTTTTTTTGCACAGACTCAATCCGGTCTATATGCACCCCATATTAAGGACTCCAAACAGGAGCGCAGTACTCAAGAATTGGTCGGACTAATGAAATAAACAAGGTCTTTGTGACATAGGGATCATCGAATTCCTTCGACCACCTTTTGATAAATGCAAGCACGCCCCTGGCTTTATTTACCATAGTAGTAATGTGATCGGAAAATTTAAGTCTAGGATCCATGTAGACTCCAAGGTCGTCAGCATGCGTTATCCTATCTAACGCACAACCACTCAAAGTATACGTTGAGTAGTGGGGGCTGACACGAAAAAAGGTCATTAGTTTACACTTAGAACCATTTAAATTCAATTCATTTTCAATGCACCATGTTTGAAATGCATTTAGATCCGATTGTAAAGCTAAACTTTGTGCGGGGTCATTATATTGCAGGCACAACTTAACGTCATCTGCGTACATAAGAACCCGTGACTTCGTTAAGACTAATGGAAGGTCATTTATAAATAATGTAAACAGGAGCGGACCGAGATGACTTCCTTGTGGTACACCGGAAGTAACTCGGATTAGGGATGACAAAGAGTTTTTAAAAATGACCCTTTGAGTCCTATCATTCAAATAACTTAAAATCCACCTAAGAAGATCACCTGAAAACCCTAAAAGGTCCAATTTCCGGACTAAAATCGGGTGACTTACAGAATCAAACGCCTTACTAAAATCAGTGTAGACCACATCAGTCTGACGATTCTTTCTAAAACCTCCTATAACAAATGAAGTAAACTCCAAAAGGTTGGTTGTCGTTGACCTACGTTTTATAAATCCGTGTTGACAAGAGGAAATAAGGGACCTACAACTGTGTTGTAAATGAGGCGTAATAATGTTCTCAAAGAGCTTCGGTATAGCTGATAGCTTTGAAATACCTCTGTAATTACATGCGTTCAATTTACTCCCTTTTTTATGAAGCGGGATAACAAACGATTCCTTCCATCTGTGTGGGAAATCGGATGTTTCTAAAGACAAAGTAAACAGTTTGTGCAATGGTCTACACAAAGTCTCAGCGCAATACCTAAGCACACATCCAGGGACTCCGTCAGGACCCGGAGAGTAGACTGGTTTGACCCTTTGCAATTCTAAAAGAAGTGAGCTTTTACTTATAACAGGACAACAAATAAAGTTTGATTTAGGAATGACATATGGGTAAGACTGATCTGGAGGACTTGATGTTGAATAGGTGGTTTGAAAAAACTGTGCAAAAAGATCGGCTATGGCTTGATCAGTGCTAGCAGCCGAATTTTCAAATTTAAGTGATGATGGGTAACTAGAAGATTTACGCTTTGTGTTAACAAAATTATAAAACTGTTTTGGATCCAGTGTAAACTGGGTCTTGCAACGAGCTAAATAGTTTTTATAACACTGAGCGTTAAGCACGGTGAAATCGGACCGAGCACTTAAGTATCGGGAAAAGGCAGCTTGTGAACCTGAAGCTCTAAACTTTTTGTAGAGTCTAGACTTTACATTTTTAAGTCGTGCCAGCTCTTTGTTAAACCACGGAGGTTGGTTTGAAATATTAGGATAATACGTAGGAACGCATGTATCAAAAACTTCGTTTAATATGTTATAAAATATATTAACCGCTTCATTTATATTATTACTTAAGTACAGATTGGACCAATCCGAGCAAGCTATAAGGCTATTAATGAGTGCAAAGTTCGCTTTACGAAAGCAGGGGATGCGTTTAGCTATTTTTTCAGATACTTCATACACTTTTGTACCCGTGTCAATAGTCAGCTCTAGCGTTGGGTGATAAGGGTCTTCTGGTAAAGTAATTGCAGAGGTTCTAGCTATGCAGACACAATCTGGACTGGAAACAAAGCATAGATCCAGTAATCGTCCTAAGAAATTTAATACATGATTTACTTGAGACAATGAAATATCAAGCAAACCGTCAAGAAAATCATGCTGCGTTGAAGGTAACAATATATTTGAGGTTTCGACGGTGGACCATGTCGCCCTAGGTATATTAAAGTCACCTAAAACTATTAACTGATCCCTATCTGATAGTTTACTTGAAATAAACTGGATAGCGGACAGATGATTCGCATATGTCGGGAATTCCGATGATGGCGGAATATATGAACATGTTATGTATATAGAAATACCCGGAAAGGATAGTTTTATACACAGAAATTCAATGTCATTTATTTCGTCGGACGTTATTACTTCAGACGTTAATTCTGAGTCAACTGCAATTAAAACTCCACCTCCACGTCGGGACGGACGATCAAGCCTGTAAGTTGTGTACTTACTTGGAAAAACTTCGGAACTTAGAACTTCCGGTTTTAACCAGGTTTCAGTAAAAACAATAACATGGGAAGACAAGGAAAAACTATCAGTATACAATTTGGTCAACTTACTTTGTAAACCTCTTGTATTCTGATAATAAAGCTGAAGAAAAGAATCTAGTTTTTTGAGATAGATGAGGATGTAGATGTGGATGGCTCTTTAAAGGGATTTCCAACTTCCTTTGAACGAATTTTCTTTTTTTTAGCTTCGTACTCTTTAACAAAAATGCCAACAGGCCAAAAATTGGCTGAGCACATAGTTGCAAAATGAGCACAGGGAACACCGATCTTAAAAGATGATACTTCCCTAGCATATGGAAAATTAAATCGTTCAACCTTTAGATCATCAATCTGAACTTTGTTACGGATATAGGCCGTAATGTCCAGCGATGAAAGGTCAGGATTTAGCCGAGAAACAAAAATTTGTTTCCGCTGCGGTACACAGGTGACTGTTTTAGGTACCACGCATGTGACAGGTTTAGGTACTACCGCATTTACGGCTGCACTACCAGTTTCATTCGGTACTCCGGACGTTAAGTCAACATGCGGCGTTGGAATTATTAAAGTATTGCTTATAGCAGATTTTTCGGGCGTCTCATGCGGCAAAATCTCGCGTCCTTTGCATTCGGAAACCGAATCTTTTTTAGCTTTCGATCTCAGTACCATTTGTGCGGCGGCTGAGATCGACTGCTGTGCTGCAGACCCCGGATCGCCAGAGAGAGTTACACTAGCGGCTACCGTGGGTTGTCTATCGACCGCGATCTTTTTACGCTTAGGAGAATCGGGCTCAGATAGCATACGGCTAGTGAGCTGCGACTCAAGCGCCACAAGCAGATCCGTATTTTTACGGCTGTTCCGGATTAATTCCGTAACAGTGCTTTTTGTAAGCCGCCTTATAGAGAGTGCCTGGGTTTCATAAGCAATGCATTCATCACAATAGTAGCGCAAGCCACTTCTCATGTCGATTGCATCGCGTACCAGGCCCGAATAGCCAAGGCATTTTGCATGAAAAATATTCTCACACGAATGGCACGGAATGCTCTGTTGTCCAGCCGAAATTAACGACTTGCATTTCTTTAAATTGCAGACAGCCATTATCGCGATATTCCGAACCTTATACTTTCTAAACAACTACATGCTATGTCACTAAAAAAGTAATATAATTTGCAAATCACGCTACCTTTGCTTAAATTTTCTTAACACAATAAAGTTATAGGTAAACGTTTTTATATATAACATTTTTTTCTTTTTAAATTTTAAACTATATAGCCATTGAGATTCCTTAACTTTTGATCTATAACACATTTTTTTATAAAAATTACCGTTTGGAAGATATGTATAAAGTGATTAAAGTGCAATCCGTTATAGTGCAGTATGAAAAACATTTCTTGCTTACGTTGAATACCCAAAACTATGCAACAGTAAAGTATTATTAGAAACTTTTTAAGTAAATCGAAAACATTTAGATGTTTGTCATCGAAAATTAAAGACTACAAATCTTTTTTAATAAATTAATTATCAAAACTAAAAAAAAAATTTTGTACGTTGAATTTCCGATGTCTAACTACACATACTTTATTTAAGTTCCTAGAAAAACGGTTTCTATACTTGAGTATAGTGCGGCATTCAGTAACAATGCTAATACATTACGGGTATGAGTATTACAGCAAAAGTGTATAGATCTCCCATTTTATGATTGATGTTTAAAACAAAAACTTCTGATATCAAACAAACACACCTCTTAACCTTGGTAAGGGGTCGTGACGATCGCACCTTCAACATACAAAAGTTCTGATATACAATTGTGTGGCATTTTTCGATTAAATAAATACACTTTCTGAAATGTTTTCATTCGGAACACTACAATAGAATATACATTTGTATGCAGGCCGAAAGTCATAGCAACTATGGCTGATTCCTCCCTGTAGCTTAAGTTTTAAACTTTTGGCAACAGTGTACATTTGTAGGGAAGAAGCTTAAATATTTTGATGAAGCGGGCAGAATGAAAACATTTTAGAAAATGTATTAATTTAGTCAGATGTAGAATAATTTTTCGTCACCAAATGGCAAAGCTAGTTAAAGATATTTTCTCGTTAAACTAGCGGGTTTTTCCAAGAGTGGTAAAACTAACGTTTCCTAGATGCAGCTGTTTACCACTGCTTACGTCAAAAGGGCGTTTAATTTCAGGAGGCAGTGTCGAGCGGCAGTTTTATCCAGATGTCTACATCTCGCGCGCTCGCACTGCCGTCCGCTCTCCCTCTCCATCTCTCCCCTAAGTCTCCGCTCTGCTCTGGAGCGCTTAAGTTAAGTTAGGCTTAAGCAGTTCTTATTTCAAAGTGATCCAATAAACATCTACGCACGTCGCGTAAAAACCCCAAAGTACTCCCGTGTGTTTTGGGTACCATTCGATCTTGGGGCTTCACCTATTGCAACGATCAAGCCACCCCGCCCCAACAACCACCATCTAAAATTTTCAGAACGCTAAATCAACGTTTTCGGACAAGCACACAAACTGACAAACGGGCTAAAAATTTTCATTTTTAAAAATCCCCAAAATCTTGTTTTCGAAATAACTTTTGAACGGATCATCAGTCTTTGCGTTAAAAAGGTGTCACTCAACGCGTACTGTCAACAAGAATCCAAAGAGTCTAATAAAATGCTTCCCCCCCCACAAAAGCTCTTATTTCTAATAATTCACTTTTATACTTTCACCGCTCCTTTTTCTAAAATCAATTGCATTTCTTAAAGTCTTGGTATGCAATTCTTTTCATTTTTGCGATACCTCCTGTTTGGTTTATCACTCGTTACGATCGGACCATCACAGCACATTTTCATTTCTTCGGGTATATAGTAGTCGCCTTCGCACACTCCCCTGCTGCGCTTCGTCACTACGTGGACTGCCGTCCGCAGTGATTTGCGTGGTATGCAACTTTGAAATGTTATGTGTAACCTGCAACTTTGGATGGCCGAAATCGAAATTTTCAAAATAATTCTATTCGGCCAGCTGCACCCATTTCGGCATTTAAGCTTTTTACCTACAGAGAAATCCTCATTTTAGAAAATGTTGCATGTCAAAAATAAGTTTTAGAATTTGAATTAATTTACTTATCATTTTTTGTTTCAGACAACCGTTTAACTAATATTTTTTAATATTACGGTTTCAGGTGTGGTAATTTGTTTGATATACATATAGTAGTCGCCTTCTCGGCTCTCCCGGAGCGCTTCTTCCTCGGATTGCGAGTGCGGCAGCGCGCAGCTTTTCGAGTTCTCTCTGCCAGACTGCTTTTCATTTTGTTTAGTTCCTTTTTGACGGCGGGCGCGTGCACATCGCAAACAATATATGAAAAGAAATATTTAAAAAATACTGTTATTGACAGTTTGCTCTTTTAAAACGTGCTGGTATAATTATAACCTTTAATGAGCTCAGTAACAAATAAAGAAAGTGAAATATGTTTATAACAAATAAAGAGTAAAAAGATTGTTCTACAAATATAGGTCAATCGAGGGTCCAAAAGAAATCACCACGCGCCTAATTCGGTCGTAGGAACCCATGTATACTAATAAAAAAATTCTACCCAAAACAGCCCTATGCGAATGGTACATCCGTGTATTACATTTTCAGAATTTAAAGTGAAGAAACTTTAAATTTATTACGAAATTTGGACTTCACGTTAAGATTCACTGCTCCAGGGGCCTATGCATAACAACTAAACTAAAACATGAAATCAGTAAACACATATACAATTCAACATTCGATTCAATAAATCTATAGGAAATTCCCAGAACTAAGAGGTACAGTTTAATTTTATCCCTTAAAATAAATTCAAATATCATATGGAACACAGTTTAAAATTGTGGAGTCAGCGCATTCATGCGACATTTGAGTCTAAGGTTGGGAGAAACAGCTTTCGGAGAAGTGCTTATTTGTGTCGGTTGACAGAGATTGTCGACCACTTAGAAAGAATTGTTTGTTGCTCTTATTTCATTTTAACGAAATATAAGCTTGTCCTCCAGTATGAGCTGTTTGGAGTGTGAAAAAGAAATATTACTAATAATTTATTTGGACAACAGGCTGAACTCGATATGTTTCCGTATTTAGCTGTGGGTCATCTATTTGTAAGCCCGTTACTCCTAGAGTAAGAGGGTAAATTGTATTCGGGGAAAAGTATGTAACACGTGGAAGGAAGCGTTTCCGACTCTATAATGTATAAATGTTCTTAATCAGGATCACTGTCTGTCTGTCTGTCCATGTGAACGCTGATCTCGGATACTATTAGATCTAGTTAGTTTGGTTTCACACTCAGATTCCGCACTCTAACGTAAACAAACACCCACAAGTCTGTCTGTCTGTCTAGCGTCCAGATTTTTAAGAGTGTTGTAAAAGTGTAAATGAGATTTTGTTTCGATTAGGACTGCCTATCTACCTATCTGCACAAACTAGTCACCCAGTTTTCAAGCTATCGGGATGAAACTTTCCCAAAAGTGTACTTTCTCTTGCAGTATATATGTACATACGTCGGAAAATAAATAATAAATAATACCTTTTCAGCTTAAAGCTTATTATGCAATTTAAATCATACGTATACTCGTATTACAGAAACCGTATGTTCGGAAGTTTGTAAGTCGGAGGGTTTGCGTTGGTGACAAACGAGAATGTATGGGCGGTTCTTTTACAAGCCAAATGGACTTAAAAAATTATTTTTTTTTACATTTTGGATTTGCATGAAACTTGTTTTACATATACTATTCCTTAAAAAATAAACTTGTGTATCAAGATTTGGCGAAAAAAAAATATTTTTTTACCCCTTGTTCGTATTGCGCCCAACATCCGACTATACAGAGAGAAAAAACTAAGTACATTGTAATTGAATCGAGAACATTCGTTCTTAAAATCCGTGTAAGTACCAATCTTCTTATTTCTAGCTGAATGTTCTTAATTCAAGTTTGAACTGGTAGGAACTAAAAAAGTTAAGTGAGTTGTTTTCGTTCTATTTTCAAGTTGATTTTGGTTTTAATTGAAAAACATGTTTGGATCAAATGGCATACGAATAAGTTTTCTTGTTCTGTTTTCCAGAACATTTTGATCTTAGTATGATAACATTTTGTGATTGATTTTATCTGAATTTGGGATCAAAAAAAGAACATTTTAAAATTAGTTTGAAAGGAAAAAAAGAGTTCCCAAAAAAAGCAAAGATAAGAATATTCAGTGTTCATATATATTCCAATTAAATAAAAATATGAAACTATTATATTTTTATTTAATTGGAATATATATGTATTTATGATGTGATAAGTAGTTAATATTTGATTATTTACAGGCTTATAATTACTATAACATTATGGTATATATACATGCTTATAACTATTTAAATCTAAAGTAAATAATTTGTGATAATGTAAAAGTATTTCCCACTTGAATTTCGCCCAAAGAAATCTCTGTCTCACCTCCATTTATATAAATTTGTAGATATGTTTGTATATATGTATGAATGTAGAATACATAAACACACGTGGAGACGAAGGAATTCGTCCTTTTCGAGTTCTTGAAAAAGAAACTTGCACTTCAATGCGTTCAAACTTTAAAAACAATTCATATGTAGAAAGCAAACTCTTACATGTGTTTTACGTTCCATACACATATGTACATACACTAGTCGGCATAAGTATTTTGATAAAACAAAAGTTGAATATACTCATAATTTGAACTTACTAAATGTACATTTTGGCATCATGAAAAGGTCATTTAAATTCCGTTTGAATGATACAAGAATTTTAAAAAGTCGTTTGGCTTATATTCTTTTTGCAGTTACTATTACTTTTGTTTAGGGAAGACGTGAAACAAATTTAAAAAGTAGATTTTACCAAAAATTCGGCATTTTCAATAAGTACTGAATGGGTTAAGAAAAGTTGTGTATCATTCAAACAAGATAGCTGCCATTTTTCGAATTCGGCATACATTCATTCTTGGCATAAAGATGTGTTTATACGAAAATAAAGAAATGTCAATAAGATTTTGTTTTAACTTTTAATTTGAGTTTGTTATCCTTCATGGGCCAGCTTCCACCGAGTCGCATAGCTTGAGAAAGCATTTTTTTTTTGCTATTACGGATTGCTCTCTTAAGCTTTTTCGTCGCAGGAAAACTTGTTTAAATATTTATTTATATTTTGTTAACTCATAAGTGGACTTTACATACTTACATAAAGAGATAATTTTAAAACACTTCATTCCACGTAGTGACGATGCGCACCAGGAGAGTGTGCGAAGGCGACTACTTTATATACACGAAGAAATAAAAATCTACTGTGATGGTCTGATCGTTACGAGTTATATAGCAATCGAAACGTATAGCAAAAACTAAAAGGATTGCATAAAAAAAAGGGTGAAGTGGCGGGGAGAAAATTATAAAAATGTTTGTTAATACTTAAAAAATAATTTAAAACTATCAGACCATTTTAGGCTAAATGGTACGTATGAAATAAATATCAAACAAGAACGAACGCTATAGTCGGCGGTCTCGACTATTAAATACCAGTTACTCAGTTAAAGGCAATGCGAGAAAGATGGAGATTTGCATGCAGTAAAAAATGCTGTTTCCGATTTGGCACTTTATTTTTGCTTATAACTTTTTAATGAGTGGTCAGACCTTAACAATTATTGGCACTTAGGTGGGTATTAATAATCAAAAGAAAATAGCACTTACGCTTTTACAAAATGTTAAGAAATGTGAGCGCTACACAGGATTTAGCGTTATGGTCGTTAGAATGGGCGTGGCACCCAGCTTGCGCTGCCGCAAGAACCTCAAAAATCTGCATGCCAAGTCCCAACTTTATAGCTTTTATAGCGTTCATACGGACGGTCGAACAGGCGGAGAGACGGACATGGCTATATCGACTCGGCTAATGATTCTGATAATAAATATATATACCTTATAGGGTCAGAAACGTCTCCTTTACTGTGTTGCAAACTTCTGACCGAAATCATTATACCCTCCGCAAGGGTATAAAATTGTGTATATTTTATTTTAAATTCACTTAATTACTAAACAGACTTGTAACCTTCCTTTCTAAAGGTAAAATTCGACTGCCTCATCCCTTGGCTTTGATTAGTAATCAAAGTTTGGCTTGAAAGAAATGATATTAGTTTGTAAACAATATTTTGGGGTTCACAATATAGTCGATGAAATGAATGATGGAATTCTTAATTAGACTGCGAAATTTAATAAAGGGTTTAGTGCGCAACATTGTCTTCTCCGGATAATAATATTTACTTTACACTAACATTTTAAGTTTCCCGGAGTAAAATTCGACTGCCTGGTCTATTGGATTTGATTAGTAATCAACGCTCAGCCTAGAGGAAATTATATTACATTTGTATCAGAGTTTTTGGGATTGTCAAGAGAGTCGGAAAAATGAATGATGGTATTCTTTTAGACTGCGAAATTCAATAAAGCGTTTAGTCTGCAGAAATGGGCTCGCCGGATATTAATGTTTACTTAAGGTGAACCGAGCTTTGTTTATAAGCTGCAGACGACGGACTGCCCAGAAATTTATTGTGGGTTGAGCTTTGTTTACACTGTGCACAGAAATCAAAATGCGTGAAACAAGAATTCTAAGTAGATAGAGAAAGCTGAGTAAGAAGTTCCCTGCCTGAAGTTGTTTATAAGTTGGGTAAGGAAACTATATCAGATGTTGGTCATGTAAAATTTCTATATTCTTATTATTATACCCTTACAGAGGGTATTGTGATTTCAGTCAGAAGTTTGCAACGCAGTGAAGGAGACGTTTCCGACTCCATAAAGTATATATATTCTTAATCAGCATCACTAGACGAGTCGATATAGTCATTGTCCTTTCCTACGCAAACTAGTCTCTCAGTTCTAAGGCTATCGGGCTGAAACTTTCCCAAAAGACTTCTTTTTTTTGCAGGTAGTATATAAGTCGGAACCAGTCGGATCGGACAACTATATCTTATAGCTCCCATAGGAACAAACGGAAAAAAATGTAAATAAATGATATCTTTGGTGTTTTTAAACATATAACTTCCTAAGCTTGGAAATAACATTTTTTAATTAGTTCTGAATTTCGAATTTAATTCTATCAAAATCGGACGACTATATCATATAGGTGCAATAGGAACGATCGGAAAATTGGTGGGAAAATAATACGAAACAAATAATAGTTTCGGTGTTTCTTGACATATTATCTTATACTATTGGGAATATCACTTATTGTATTTTTAGGAATTTCGAATTCAATTTAATAAAAATCGGACGACTCTAACATATAGCTGTCAAAGAAACGGTCAAAGAAATAATGAAATAATTATTTTAAAAAAATGTTGCCTTGTGGATTTTGGGTTTTGATCGTATTTTCTTTTACTCTGGGATATAGAATATTTTAAATTTTCAGCATTACGAATTTAATTTTACAAAAATATAGCAACAATCCTTAAAAATGTAACATGGTGTTACTAACATTGATTATTTTTTATACAAACTTCGGCTTGCCGAAGTTAACTTCCTTTCTTGTTTTCTGATATTTTTTCTCAAACTTATTTTTCTCAAATAGCAAGAGGCGAAAATGTGATTCCATTTTTTGCTATTCGTGAATTGTAGTGTTGAAAACATAAATTTTAGCTAGTTGATACTATTACTAGATTTTGAAGATAGAATGCTAATAATAGATATTTTCGTAAAGGCCGTTATCTGTCTAAGAAAGCTGTTTTCAGGTCATAAAATACAGTTTTTATTTCTTTAATGGGAATCTGTTATGACTTGATGTTATTATTTTTATTTGTAGAGCAAAGTATAAATAAGCAAACGTATACAACCCTATAAAGTATATGTATTCTTGATTAGGAGCCAAGTCAATCTAGACATGCCCGTCTGTCCGTCCGTATGAATTCTGAAATCTCGAGAACCATAAAAGCTAGAATGTTGGGATTAGGCATGAAGATTCTAGAGGTTCTTGCGCAGCGAAAGTTTGGGCGTCACGCCCACTCTTACGGGCACAAACGCCCATGACGCATAAACCTATCTACCTACCGCATTTTCTAAGCCGTTAAGTCTAACCGCATACTAACAGAATATCACATGGAATATTTAAAAAGCGTTTTTAAAAAGGTGTTTAATTGAACAAAGATAATATAAATCTCACTCAGGTGGACACTAATACAAGCAAGAATACTGAAAACAACCCAGTCGTAAATGCCCAGTCTTAAATGACAGCATTCCAGCATGCGTTCTTTCATTATGAAATGAACAAAGAAGAATGCACGCGTTGCATGCCTCTGGAAGCATATATCTGGAATGCACCTGGAAGTAACAAACTAAACACATTCTGAGTGCACTCTTTTTTAATGCACCTGGAAGCAACATACTAAACACCTTCTGGGTGCACTCTTTTTTAATGCACCTGGAAGCAATATACTAAACTCCTTCTGGGTGCTCTCTTCTTTAATTCACCTGGAAGTAACATACTAAACACCATCTGGGTGTACTCTTTTTTAATGCACCTGTAACATGTACCCAGGAATGCACCTAGAAGCATTCAAAAATCAAATATCGGGAAGTTTTCCCCAGGAATACATAAAACTGAATTTAAATCTATATTTTTATTAAAAAATTAAATATCTGGAAGCTTTCCCAAGGAATACATAAATCTGGATTTAAATTTTAAATTTTTATTTACTTATTTTCAATCAGAATCGCTCTCTGGTTCGGCTCCTGGTTCCGGTTTGGCCTTCTTTAGGGCGCTTTTTCCTTTATAAATTTTGTTCTTTTGCCTCACGAATGCCAACCGGATGTCTTTCACGTAGTCCAATAAGGCATAACCTTCCCTTTTTTGTGACTCTGCAAAGATATGAACACATTGAAAATTATTATTATAATGTAATATATTATTTCTAGTATTGGCTACTGTTTATTACAAAGAAAACGTCACAAAGTTTTTAATCAAAAAAATGGACGTACCTTGCAGGACTGAATTCAAATTATGGAAATTTGCAAGTCCATATTTATGTCTAGACCCACTGTAATTCAATTGAATGATTACTTCAGAGCTTATTATTTGGTCCAAGTTTTTTATCAAATTATTCCCCAAAATGGATTTAAAGAGCGGTACCTGAAATAAAAATATAAAAATTACTAGAAACTATGAATAACAACTTACTTTAAAATTCGGAAATAATTAAAAATTATATATCTTAAATCAAAAGTTTACATCGCAATGTAGGAGACGATAATTTAATGGGGCTGGAATCTTCTCCTACATTGCGTTGTAAACTTTTGATTTAAGAAATATAACTTTTTATTATTTCCGAATTTTAAAGTAAGTTGTTATTCCTGTTAAAGTCTGTCCGTGAACGTTTCGATTTGGGAAGCTTACATATTTTTCCATTTTTCCGTATATTTTATCGTCCACCTCCTTTAAATGGTCCAGCGACCGGATGGGGAAGTCGGCCTTTAGAGTTGGCTCGACTGGTGCCATTTTCCTCCAGAGAGCCAACATTTGCGCCGTGGAGTCGAGAATGGCAGAGTTCACGGCTTTCAACTCCGCCAGATCAGTCCGCATTTTTCGGACCTCACTCCCCATCGCACGTACTTCTTCCTCCAGGCGTTGGATTCGTCCATCCAGCCCCGCAGACCTACTCTCTTTAGATGGCGTAGGCACATTTTGCATTTCGTGGAGAATGAAATTCAATTTTCTCAAAAAGAGGGAAGAAATATGTTACAAAATGATCTTAAATATGAAGGGCAGCTAACTTCGGGAAGCCGAAGTTTGTACACTCTTGCCGATCGTTGCTATTGCAGCTATAAAACATATCAAACAAAAACACCTCATAACGAGGTTAAAATATAGTGACGATCGCACCTACACCAAACAAAAGTCCTGATATCAACTTTTGTGACCAAAATGTATTAAACGATCTACGTAATAAATAATAATTAATAATAATAAATATCTTAAGATATGCGTGCGTGTGTGTGCATATATGTATGAATTTGTGTGAGTAATATAAATTGCTTTTACAGCTTTTCTTTATAATGCCCACTATATCCTTTTGTTAAAAATATTTCATTTGCAAATCTTAAATGGCTTTAATAAATATCCTTTGAAAGGACAAAACTGACTTCAAATTACAAACTCATTTTGTTATTCTCAAATTGAAATTGCATTCCTGTGTTTAAAAAAATACATATATATGTTTAAACAAATACGCTACATTATTTCAAATTAATATAATTGTTTACTAGCACCAGTGGGAAAATCCAAAAATATCATTTATAGGAAAATCTTGCAGAAATTATAAAATTTTGAAACTAAAATATAAGAGTTCAATTAAATATTGACATTGTGGAATAGGTCCTTGGAGAAACCAAAAAAATACGTTCCAAAACATCTACCTCTATTGTAATGTGGAATGTTTTAAATTTAGTTTAGGTAGCAGCCTTCAACCTTTAACCTTAAGTCGCACCTTCAACATACAAAAGTTCTGATATCGACTTTTGTGACGAATAATGCTTGTACATTCGACTAAATAAATACATTTTCTAAAACAATAACATATTAACTTCTACTCTTGGGAATATCAATCTTTTGATATTTCAGAATTTTGAAAAAAAATTAAGACAAGAAAGGAAGTCAACTTCGGATAGCCGAAGTTTGTATACCTTTGCAGTTATAATTATTAAGTTTAGTTTAAAAATTCTTAAAAGTACAAAAATTATATTCCGAATAATTTATTATGATATGTCAATAAACACCGAAGCTATAATTTGTGTCATATCATTTTTCCACCAATTTTCCGATCGTTCCTATGGCAGCTATGGCAGCTATATGCCGATTTTGTTTAAACTTAATTCGAAATTCAGAACTAATTAAAGAATGTTATTTCCAAGCTTGGGAGGTTATATGTTTAAAAACACCAGAGATATAATTTTTTAAAGTTTTTTTTTCCGATTATTCCTATGGGAGCTATTATACGAGTATATAGTTGTCCGATCCGGCTGGTTCATGTACAAATCGGACAACAATATCATATAGCTGCCATAGGAACGATCGGATAATTAATGTCAAAATAATACAAAGACCGTTTTATTTCGTTTTCGGCAAACATATACGGTAGTAAATTGAAATTTTAGTTTTCTAAAAATCGGAAAACTCTTGCTGAAATTAAAAATTTTTTGTTTGAATGGGAGTTCCATTCACTTTTGCTGTAATACTCATATATGAGGTATGGTAATAGCATTACATCAAATTTTTCGTCCTTTTAATAATTTATTTATTACAAAAAGTTTTAGTCGATAACAAATTTCTAAATGCCTCCTTTTTAATTAAAAAAAATATCTTATAAGAATTTGTTCTCATCAAGTTACTGTTGCATTTCAGTAAGCAATGAAATGCTGAACTAAAAAAGGTTGCACTTTTTATCGCTCAATATTTTCTAAACCGTAATTTTTATGACAAAAAGTGTTACAGATCCAAAGTTGAGGAATCTCAAGAGCAGTAAGATTGAGAATTTAAAAGGAAATCGGGTGAACTAATTCTGAGAAAATAGCCAAAAAGTGGGTTTAAAATAAAACTTTTTGCTATAACTCTAAATCTTTTATATTAAGACAATTTCAGAATAGGCAGAGTTTAAGCAAATTAAATTACCTTTTCAGAGACATATATCACGGTATTGTTTGTTAATTGTTTAGAAACTATAAGCCTTTCAAATCTTTTTTTTTAGATTTTTCGCTAAACTGTTTTTTTTTTAAAGTCGTGGAACAAAAATTTTCTATATCTAGCGACTTAATACACCCATCAGGTTTGCAAGACCCTAAAATCAAACGTACAAGGCCACAAACAAAGGGACAAACATTTCCATTTTGGTAAGAAGAAAATCTTGTTTTTGAAATAACATTTGAACGGCACATCGGATTTCAACGAATGAGGTGTCATTCGACGCTTATATTCAGTAAGAATAAAACTAGGTTAAAAGGCGCTGGTGATTTATACCCACCGACTCCAGACGCTCCAATTTTCTAAACTTTCACTGCTTTTCTCCCAAAGGAATTGAAATTTCTAAATCATGGTATGCAATAGTTTTTGCAATACCTTTCAATTGGTGTGTCACTCGTTACCATCAGACCATCATAGCAGATTTTCAATTCTGCGGCTATATATGGTAGCTGTCTTCGCACACTCTCTGGTGCGCTTCGCCACTACGTGTACTGCCGTCCGCAGTGATATTTATGCCAAAAGTTGTTCAAATAGGACCATCAATTAGAAATTTATAAGCAAATAAAGGAACCATCACTAGGTGGCGCTGTTGTGGGCTGTGCAATCTTGGGAACAGTCGCTTTGCTGATTGCATATCTCCATCTCCCTCTCATTTACGTAAACGGTGTACCTCCGTAATTGTGATGCTGATATCGTGCAGATGGCAAGCGTCATCGGCTTAACACTGCTTGATGACAAGTCGGAATTTAAAATAGTTTATTTTTCAAACACGGACTTATGTTTAAACATTTTTTTGTACTTATAAAATTATGTTTAAGAACTAAATAAAACGTTTAGTCAGTATTTTAAGAAAATTAATTGGATCTGAGACGTGTTTGGCAGGAAAGTGCGGGCAGAAGCAGAACAACAATCATAATCCACAACACCGTTAGCTTACTCTAATAAATGAGAAAATATTAAACAATTTATCACATTTATCTATCAATTTAACTAAATATGAAAATTTGATAATAAAGATTTTCCATATCTATTTATTAAACTCTAATCATTTTCATTAATTATCATACATTAAAATGTGTAAAGTTGTACTACTTAAATTAAATATTTAAGAATGTAAATAAAATAAAAAAAAATAGGGAGTTAAATTTTAATTTAATTTGGGAGAAAGAGCAGTGAAAATTAAGAATATTTGATCTGTTGGGGCCGCGATAAATGCTACAGCTTATTAACCTAGTTAAATTCTAACTGAAAGTACGCGTAGAATGACACCTCAATTGTTGAAATCCGACGCTCCGTTCAAAAGTTATACCAGCTCAGAACAACTAACGCTGCCTGATCATTGAACTTTGTTTGTGCGTATCTCAACTCTATTTTAAGGTCCTGGAATTCTTTAATTGGTGCTAAACAGCCAAATACTTTTGGAAAAACCTGCTAGCTTAGAGATAATATCTTACAAATAGCCTCAAGCAGAACACCAGAACTCAAAACGACTAAAGCTACAGACATGTGCTATATGTCGTTTAGCACTAGCAGAGTCGGATAGGGCTTGTCCGTCTGTCTGTTTGTCTGTCCGTCCGTATGAACGCTGAGATCTCGAAAAATGTAAAAGCTTGAAGTTTTGCATTTGGCCCTGTTGCGGGGTGTGCAACTGTGAATAGTCGTTTTGCTGCATATCTCCAGCGCACCGCTATTAGCTGGGTAACGGGTACTTGACAACTAAAGCGTTTTCTCTTGTTTTTTTTCTAGTATCAGAGGTCCTTTATAGTTTTCCTGCTCCGCGTTTTCATTAGCTAGCCATAGGTTTCTGTTGTTGCTGTTACTATTATTATTATTTCTGTTTGCGTAGGTGTATCAAATGTTTGCTTAAAGATTTTGTATTGGTTTTTTGTTGTAGCTATTAAAATTTGTATTAAAAGTATAGTATATCTGCTATATATATATATAGTATAGTATCTGTTATTATTAGGGTTATTTCGATTATAATTGTTATAGTAGCTGTTACTATAGGGATACCTAGAGCTTTGTCCATATTGATAAGTCAAAAAATTAACTATTAATGTTTATATATTCTTTTGTAGCGTGCCGAATGAAAACATTTTAGAAAGTGTATTTATTTAGTAGCACGAATCAGTGGGATTAGTTCTTTAGAAACTATAAGTCTTTCAAATCTAGCTATTTTATTGGATTTCCCGCCAAACTAGTGGGTTTTTCCAAAAATAGTAGAACAAAAGTTTTCTATTTTGAGCTTTCAACGCACATAAAGATCCTAAACCAAACCAAAGATCCTAAAACGGATTCATACAAGCCTACAAGCAAAGGGACAAACATTTTCATTTTGAAAAGTCATCCAACATCTTGTTTTTGAAATAACTTTTGAACGAAGCATCGGATTTTAGCATATGAGGTGTCATTCAACGCGTATTCTCAGTAAGAATAGTTAATAGCCGGGAGCATTTATCCCCACCAGACCCAATAGCTCACATTTTCTAAACTTTCACTTTTACAGCTTCACCACTCTTTCTTCCAAATCAATTAATATTTCAAAAAATTTGGTATGCAATCTTCTTAGTTTCATTCGTTACTATCAGACCATTGCAGCAGATTTTCAATTCTGCGGCTATATATAGTAGTCGCCTTCGTCACTACGTGGACTGTTGTCCACAGTGATACAAATTAATAAAGACATGTTCAAAATTTTTGTGTTGAATATCTTTACTATGAACTTACTTGGCTACACTTAATACAAGTTGTATTAAAATGCATGGATACCTAAAACGCGAATGGTAAAGAATTCTACAAGTAGAATTCACATGTGTTTGTCTGCTTCCACCACTTGTAAAAATTATAGCAACAATTATTTTATTATATTTTATTGATAGCCCGATTGGGCAGTTTGAGCTCTGTTTATAAACTCAAAGTAAAATAAGATGTTGATGCCGCCGTTGCTGGTCGAATTTTGTTGACGCTGCGTCTCGTGAGCTAACCACTCAGCGCTTGCATGGCTTGGATCGGATTTCGTTGCCCGGATTCCCGCTTACTCGTGCATTCGGTGTTGGCCCCAGATCGATGACAGTAGTCGGGTTAACTTATACAATGCTCGGTTTTCCGAACCTTATACAGGGTTGCCCATATTCGACGGACCCATGTTTTTTTTTAAAAAATCAAAGAAAAAAATACAAATTTGGCGGTTGGCAATCTTAATCATTTAATTTGTTTCAAGTAGATTTGTTTACATCAATTTTTGAATATGATATCTTTCAAATGGCCGCCTCTGGCGTTGATGGCGTATTCTGCCCTTTTTGCAGCATTTTCCATCGTTTTCGCCAACATTTCGGCCGGAATAGCGGCTATTTCTTCACGAATGTTGCCCTTGAGCTCTTCTAGGGTCCTTGGCTTGTTAACGTAAACCTTTGAAACCCCACAAGAAGAAGTCAGGCGGCGTCAAATCGGGCGAACGCGGTGGCCAGTCCAAATCACCACCTTTCGACATCAAACGGCCCGGAAACAATTTCTTCAGAAAATCGATTGTTATGCGACTTGTGTGCGGTGGAGCGCCGTCTTGTTGAAACCAGAACTGCCTCATACGCTTTCGACGAATAGTTGGCATCACAAAATTGGTCATCATGTCGCGATAACGCTCCTGGTTGATGGTAACAGCATGGCCATTTTCATTTTGGAAGAAAAACGGCCCAATTACCGTTTTCGATCTAACGCCGCACCAAACTGTGCTTTTTCGACTTTTTCGTCGTGAAGAGGCACTTCTTGAATCTTCTCAGGATTTTCAGTGGCGTAAATACGGCAATTTTGCTTATTTACGGTCCCATTCAACGTGAAATGGGCTTCATGGGACATGATAATTTTGTTCCAAAATTGATCGTCATCTTCGGCCATTTCGATGACTCTTTGGGCCCATTCCAATCGACGAGGCTTGTCCGTAAGCAACAATCTTTGCGTCAATTGAATTTTGTACGGGAACAAATGCAAATCAACGCGAATAATCCGTTGTAAAGTGGACCGAGCCATGCCCAACTGCTGAGAACGGCGTTTTTGGGATGTTCTTGG